TTCAGGCTGGTCATCCTTAGGCTCAGAGAGAAAGCATCCTATGAATAAAAGAATTGTCCCTCACTGCGAGAGTTGTGATCTGGTACCTCAAATGTGGGCGTCTTGCCCTTGCCTTTGCCTCCCTAGAGAGGTGCCTTATTCCCCTTTTTTAAAAGGGAAACTGATGAGTCCACAAATTGGACTCATTTAGGGCTATATTTTGATAGAATTAATGTCCTCAAATGTATATTTTGTCTCAATATCAAATGAAAATCCTTAAGTTTCAGGTATTTGGAGTTTCAGGCAAAGCATGGACACTATTTGGCAAAAAGGTTCTTGAACAAAGCGACTGAAAAGAAACAAAGAAATGAAGACCTGAGGATCGCCGAGCCTAGTTGGCGAGTCGCCGATCGGTCGAGAGATCGCCTTTTGTTCTAGTGTGCTGAGCCCTGAAGGGAAAGATCAAGTTGGCGATGAAATGGAGTAGCTGACGTGTCACCGAGTAGTTCCACAAAGCAGTACCATATCGCCCAATGACTCAAAGTGCGAAGAGGTTGAAGGCTAAAGCAAGAAGGTGATGAAATCGACCAAAAGGTGTATCGCCGTGTATCGGCAAACCCAAGTGAGTGCTCCGAGTTATTCGATGCAGCACAAATTTTCAAACATTATAACTACTTGTTAAAGTTGTAATCAATCACTTAAACAAGAAAGGAAGTCATAGACAATTATTATTCAGACATAGAATATTCTTAGTTCCAAGTTTTAGAGGGTTTTGGAGACTTTGTTCTAAGACCTTGAAGATTCAAAGGATTTCAACTCCAAGAAATAGGACGTGGGTCTCGAATATTCTTCACTCTTGACATGTTTTAAGACTTAATTCTTCATACCTAGTAGATGGAAACTGATATTGGTATTGATTTTTACCTCTTTTACATGTCTAGCTAAAACCTCAATTCTTGAGCTGTGATTTTGTGAATATGGGTTAGATTATTTGTTGGGTCTTGCTTGTTGATGGTTTATTTGTTGTTTAAATGTGATTTCGTTTAGTAGTTGTGTATGAACTTAATGGGATTGTAGTTGCAAATACAATTTCATCTAAGTGTTTTGGCTTGCTCGAGAGAGAGGTCGTAAAACTAAGACTACTAAATTGATAGCTGGTGATATTGGGTCGACATGGGTTCATCTCGAGAGAGTGAATCCTAGTCCTTTTCCCACACATTCAGCTGGAGAGAGTGAATCCAAGTCCTGTTCCCACACATTCAGCTCGAGAGAGTGAATGGGCTAAGGAAGAGGTTGTGCTTAATGAGGCAACTCGGTGTTCGAGAGAAACCAAGTTGATTCCGGGTAAATTGCTCGAGAGAGAATTTACCCCCACCATAGTCTAGCCTAGTCACAAATGTTCAACAATATACAATCAAAAGCATGTACCCGATAGTCTAATTTATCTCGTATTCCTATCATATCCCCAGAATCCTGTCTCTATATCTTGATTTCTTATTTTTTTGTTTGTATTTGTTTATTAGCTTAATACAACCCCCCCCCCCTCCCCATTGATAATTGACGCTTGCGTCATGCCATTAGATTTAATATGTTTTTAATCGTAAATGTTTTTAGGTATGACTAATTAGAACTAAATTTTATTTTTCTATTAATTCTCAAAACCACTCCCTGTGGGAACGATCCCAACCTTTAGTTGGGTTATATCACTACACGCGATCCTATGGCATTTGAACTGAACTACTGATCAAAATGGTGCCGCTGCCGGGGAGTGGTGTAATTTCAAAATTCTTAGTTTGGTAAAATTCTTTTGTTCTTGTTAGTCGTAGTTTACTAACTTTATTTTTAGTTTTGTTTTTCTTTGAGTTGTTGTTGTAGGTAGATACCCTGAGAATGGCTATGGAAAAAGGTAGAAAATTGGCTGAGACGAATCAAAAAGTCGAGAGGGACTTCAAATTAACCGCACTAGTAACTCAGCTGAACAATTTGGCCACCAAAATATCAGAGGTGGAACACCAGTGCAAAAGTCAAGAGAGGTACATACCCCCTCATCAGAGGAAAAGGTCTAGAGACGGGAAGAACAATAGTGTCGAGAACACACTACAAATCATTCTCCAAAAGATTACTGAATAAGATCAATTGCTAGAAGAGAGGAAGGATAATATTGAAGTGTTGAATTAGATGATTGGCTCTCATTCTAGATCTATCCAACTGATCAAGACACTTATGAGTTATGCAGTGTCTCCTCTCCACCCGAATGAATTATTGGGCATACCTGGTAACACTAGGGCTAACCCCAATCATGGAGAGTGAGGAAAGAGTTGCGTCGGGACATGACGTTAATTAAGGCGCTTATTGGGAGGTAACCCAAGGTCTTAAATGCTTTGTTTTTTTATATATAATGGTGTGTTGATTGTGCATGTCAAAGTGTGCAGAGTGTGTGGAAATTACATTTGGCAAACTAAAAGTTTATTTAGCGAATCTCCAACCAGGTCAGTGACCACGATTAAGACTGCCTTCTTAACCCCCAAGAAAATGAAGGTCCTGTAGAAATTGTCAGGGTAACTGACCATTTGGCGCGTCGCCGAATGAATCGGTGGACGCAACTAACGTCGCCGAATGGACGCGAACTTGGCAGTTATATATGGCCATAGGTGTTAAAGTTTCAAACTCTTCACTTTCCCTCGCTTTTAAACTTCACACACTCACACCAATTTAGTGTTTTCAATATTCTTGCTTTCAATAAGTATTTTGGTTGTTGATTGGTGCTCGAAACTGGGATTTCTTTGCCGCCTAGCATTTCAATCCTATTTTAATCGGCATCTAAGGTTCGTTTACGAATCCCGAGTTTACTTTAAAAAAAATTGTAGTCATTTGCAATGATCATATCGTCTTCTCATGTGTTGGGCGTCTCTGATAGTATTAGACTGTTTAAATGCCAATTTTAAATTAATAATCTTGCCTGTATTATTTTGATCGTCAAATGCCTGTCAATTTGTGCTTTTAGATGAATGAAATTTTATGAGGTTGTGCTTACATGTTGTTTAGATTGGTTGGGTGAAGTCTAAGTAGCCCGTGGTTGCGCTAATGGACGTATATTGCTCAATAATAGATCGGGTGACACCCTTCTTAAGGGAAATTATCGTCAAATGACCAAATTTGGCAAAACTGAAATAAGTCTGAGTATTCCGGGGTGATGGGTTCTATGGGTTTGAGCCTAATTTAGTTATTGAATGATTTGATTTTGTTTTCGGGGGTTGTGGGGTTGAATTCGAGAAGGTGGATTGAAAATAGACACGTTGGGCCGTTTGGAGAGCTGGGTTGAGTTCGCCGAACCACTCGGCAGTTCACCAAACCACCCCTGATCACCTTAACTTCCATGTTATATGTGTTGTTTGATTCTGTAACTTTTGGTGAGAAGCCTGAGGTCGGTAAAAGCAATCGATGACTCACCGAAAGTATTCTTGATCGCCCTTTATCTTCACCCCTGAACCCTTTTCTACACTGTAACTTTAGGCGAATAAACCTTTGATCGCCGAAAGTAGTCGACGATTTATCGAAAGGGCCTTCCCATCGCTGACTTGCAATAATTTTTTAACCAATCCCTTCGGCGAGCCCGATCTAGCTCGCCAAAGAGGTTCGGCGACTCGCCGACTGGATCGGTAAGTCCGTCTGAAATCATTTTTTTGTCCTTCACTGTGAATATTATCTAACATGCAGATATGGTTCGGACTAATCTAAGCACGCCACCGCAGAAGAAAGCACGGGGCATCACTATAAATGAAGGGGGATGAGGTCGTCCAAAGAAAAGAAGGCAAGAACTCCCACCGGTATACAAAGGAAAAAGAAATAAGCACGTAGCTAAGAAAGGAGACGCTGACAACCAGGCTGAATTGTCATAACCTGAAGACGACCAGCCCTTGGTGAACTGAAGGAATGAGCTCCGAGCTAGACCTCAATCCACATCCACCAGGGTTTCCTCAACTGCAACTCTTCTGGCAACAGACTCTGTGCCAACTCAGGCACCTCCAGTGACCCCTGCACTCCCTATCACTCCTCCACCTAGACTGATGAACAGATTGAAAGCCGATGGTTTACGAACCATCCTTGAGGAAAAGCTACTTTCAACAAAAGGTTTAGATGGAAAGTATTCATAAGTGGGTGAGACCCTCCACTACCATGAATTTGAGCAGTTCACCAGGCCCCGAGGCCCTTATATTCCTACATGGGTCCAGGAATTCTATACAATTTATGGGCAGTTTGTGACCAAGAGCAAGAAAAAGGTGAGCGAATTCAGACCAGTGAAGTCGGTCATGGTCAGAGGCAAGGATGTTGGGTGCGACAGTGAATATATTAACACTATTTTGAATAGACCGCTGCACTCTGCACTTCCTTACGAGGGGTTGCCCATTTCTCCGTCACTGGATGACTTAAAGGGTTGGTTGGCTCTTCTGATTTCTGAAACTACCCCGAGGTGGATGGATGCAGGGGGACCTATTGAGAAGAGGGACTTGAGCATTGCTGCTAGGTTCTTGTTTGGCTATATTAGTAGCACCATAATGGCATCCTAAAACAAGACCATTTTGCACTATCCGAAAGCAGCTTGCCTTGGTTCTATCATGTCTAGGAGACACATCGACCTGGGACTAATGACTTCACAGGAGATGGCCATGAGAGCCAAACAGAAATAGACTTCTCTGCCATTCCCAGTCCTAATAATTGAATTGTGCCGGAGTGCTGGAGTACCACTAGACACTGCGAGAGATATTGAGGTCACCCCTTTATCCTCCACTAACCAACGGCGTATTGAGGCTAAGTTCACATGAGAGGAGGTGGATAGAAGGAGAGCTGCTCCGGCCGACATTTATCTAGATGTTGATGTTGACTCGTTACCTACATAGGCATCTTCGCCTACTCCGGCCTCTGGGCCTTCAAGTACACCGTCTCCTTCCTCTTTTTCGCAGGCCCCAGCTTTTTCTTTCTCTTTCAAGCCTATTAGGATTACTTAGGTCATGATCCTGAAGATGGGGAATTTGGCCCAATTAACCGATATGCGGGTAACCCGACTCGAGAGATCCATCCCTGGGACGATCGACAGAGCCATACTTGCTGCACTCACTCCCTCTCCAGACTTCTGTTGATGAGTTGACTGTGAGAGTCACAGCTTGTGAGAGAAAACAGGGGGAGACCTCTGAGATGACGGCCTTAAAAGCCGAAGTAGCAGATCTGAGGAAGGACGTAGACTATCTAAAGTCTATGGACTTCAATTCATTAATAGGGGCTGCTAATGATGAAGATACCCTAGAGACTTCCATGATTCCTCCGGCTACCACCGAAGATTTACAAGGGGATGGCATAGCAGATGAGGAGTCGGATGCAGAGACCGACAAGGAGCAGATGGCAATGCATGATGATGAGATGATAGAGAGACGAGAGGAGAGCATATTTAGAGATTTTCCAGATCTGGTGGAGACGATTGTCTAGCTGGTGATCCAAACATCGCCGACTGAGACGTCCATAGCAGCTCCTAGTGGATCTGGCACTGCTATTCCTTCTGAGGTTACTCTAGGCACTGAAGCCCAAGTCCATATTGATACACCGGGCACTGAAGCCTCGACAAATGGAGTGACTGCATAGGCAGGAACCCCTCTTTGCCTCCCTCTCTGTCTTACTTTATTTTGACTTTTGCAATTTGTGTTATTTGCATTTGAGGAAAAATGATTTTTATTTGTGGTGGGGTGAGGCCCACCTTTGTGCATATTTTTTTTGTTATTTTTGGGTTGAAATTTATAATTATGCTATACACTGCTTTTTGCAGATGTTTGAGCTTGTGGCTCCTTTTGTTTTTATTGCAAATGATTTTGACCCTTTAGAAATTTTTGACACCTCTTCTATGTACTTGAATGTGGTTGTTCCTTGGAAAATTTGAGTATCGGTTTCGATCAATACCGATGACTTGAATAGTGCTCATAATTTAACGAAAATAAATATGCGGGTACGATGAGGCCAAATGAAGTCGCATAGACAATATGTAAACTCTTTGCATCTCGTTGTGACTAGCCAATTATCAATTGATTCTCTTGCAATGAACGTCGTACACTAGCGAAAGTGTGGAGTCTTGTTTGACATTAGTGTCGATACCTTATGTGATGAGCTTACTGTGAACCATGCATGACAACACCTAGAATTTACCCCGTTGGTCCGGTCTACTAAGTAAGGCTATCTCTTGCTATAATCTTAGGCAACTGTGAAGAGTGTGAACCGATTTGACATATACCTTTTTTGTGGCCTACCTCGTGAGTGTGTGAACCTCTTTTGAACACCCCTTGAGCCTTATCTTTCTTTGGAAGAAACTTGATGAAAACTATACCTCTCTTAATCCACTACCCTTAATCCTCTTGATTTGTGGTAGATTGAATAGCCAACTTAGGCCAAAAGCCTAAGTTGGGGATGTGGTGAAAAGATAAGCGCAAGTCAAGAAGTGCAAGGAAAGTCTCATTTAACCCATGGTGTTGAGAAAAATGGAACCCCCACATACAAAAAAAAAGGAAGAGAAAAAAAGAAGAAAAGAATAAAAAAGAAAAGATGTGGAATAAAATGCAAAAGAAATGGGGTTCCCAAACAATCCATGGAGAGTGAATAATGGGATGACTTATGAGCACTAACGAAATTGATGAAAGACGAGGAAAGGGAGTGTTGTGAGCACCACATTTCAAGAGGATGAAAGTCATTGAGCCTAAATGACCATACCTTTGCACTCAGCCCCGTTACAAGCCTTGAAAAGACCTTTTTGATCTTAAGTGAGCTGAAACAAATGTCTATTGGAAAATACGGGCAAACCTATGGGTGAAACCATTCATAGTGTTCTTCTTTTTTAGTGTGAAGATTGCATTTGATTGCGAAGCTTTATATGATTAAACCATTGTGTGTGAGTATGGAATCATCCTTTGTGTAAGGGAATTCGAATTCTTTTGTTGAGGTTGAACTTGCATTTGAAGCAAGTATTGCGAGCGTTAAAATCTTTGGTGCAGTTGATCCTTACTTGAGTAAATTGAGTCTTTTTGTGTACAGTCATGATCGAGTCCTGTGTAGCACTGTTTGAGACATCCTTTTTGAACTGCTGAACTTGAGTTTTACTTGAGGACAGGTAAAAGTTTAAGTTGGGTGTTGATGAGTTCACAAATTGGACTCATTTAGGGCTATATTTTGATAGAATTAGTGTCCTCAAATGCATATTTTATCTCAATTTCTGATGAAAATCCTTAACTTTAAGGTATTTGGAGTTTGAGGCAAAGCATGGACACTGTTTGGCAAGAAGGAACAAAGCGGCTAAAAAGAACGAAGAAATGAATGCCTGAGGATCACCGAGCCCAGTTTGCGAGTCACCGATCGGCCTGGAAATTGCCTTTTGTTCCAGTGTCACTACATTATTTTAGGCCTACGGCCACCCCAGTAAAGTGTAGCCTAAACTAGCAAAAAGTGTGGCCTTTAATAAAAGGCTACACTTTTGGACTTTAAGCAACGCTTTTTAGGTGGTGGCCTAAAGAAGCGTAACCTTTGACATTAGACAACACTTTTTAAATGTCACCATCATAGCTACACTTATAAAGCATAGCCAAGGAGGTATAAGGGCATGCTTTGTAGTGATGCATTAGCGACACCTTTTTTTTTATTATACTACACTTAAAAGCATTGCCTTTGCTTTGTTATTGGTCACACTTAAAAAGTGTTGCCTTTTATATCTCATCTAGAGCAACACTTATAAAGTGTAACTTTTCTTATGTACAAGATAACATTGGACGTCCTAAGCAACACTTTTGAAGTGTGGCAATGTTGTGTAGAATTTTGTAGCCACAATTATTATTTTTTAAGAATAATAATTTTTATTTGCATATATTCAATAATCACATAATTAAATATACAAGTGACCTAAATCACAAAATTAACTAATAATTAAATCAAAGCTATATATTTCAAATAAAATTTGAGAAACATGTCTTGTACAACCAATACTTAGAAACTGATTGCTTAAAGATCTCTACTATCAATAAATTCCACAAAACCAAATGCATTCAAACATATATGACAATAGTACAAAAACTCTTCATCGTTCACTACAATAGATCGAGTTTACTTCTGGCCACAATTCAAATTCAATTATTGGCATTTTCCTGCACATTCAAAATAAAATTATAAGTTAGTGAAATAAATCATGTATTTAATATGCTTAAATTCATAGTAAGCCAAACTAATTCGTAACAATAAAGTCACAGTAGCGCCACCATAAACTGAATCTCTCCAAAACTAACAAATCTAACATTGAGTCATCAAAATAAAGTCTCAGCAAAGCTCTCCAAAACTAACGAAACAGCAATTTGACATTGAAAATTGACCTATATTAATCAGCAACTTCCTTTCCAATGTTAATCAGGCAAAAAGAATCTTTTGAAATCAGGCAAAAATGTTAATTAGGCAAACCAAATATTTTTAAATCCAATGTTAAAGCAATTATTAATTGACATTTTGCATAACAGTTATTCTAATTAGTAAAATGTTAAAGCAACTATGAATTAGGCAAAAATAATATTTTGAAAAACTACAGCTAGATGCTAATCAGGATTTAGAAGAGGAAGTTTGATCATTTTCACCATCAGACCACATGTTCATACAAGGAAAACTATTGGTTCCACCAAGTACAAATGCTTCATGAGGCGGAAAATTACCGACCACATGACCACCAGAGAAGCTGCTAAAAGACTCACAATAGCCAGCAATTTAAGTTTCAAGAACTTTTAAGAGATACAGTTGAAGGAAGAAAAAACAAATTCAGCATCTTTCGAGCTAATCATCATAAAAGATGGAGAATGTACCTTAGGAGAAGTCGCATAGGACCTAATACCAATCCTTTTCTAGCACGAGCATTGACTCTGTTAAAAACTAACCACTCTGACCACACAGGAGAGCCCCGATCCATGTTGAAAACAAACTGCAAAACAGCAAGGAGAAATAGTGAACGGGTGCCTCAAGAATTATTTCTATCTGTACATTTACTAGACAAGGAATCTAGCAGAATATTATGAAACTCACCACTGAAGAACCAGGTTCACCAGAACTAGTATTGACAGTCTCAAGTTTGGCAAGTAATATATCATTGTGAGTGTTGCCACTGCAGCAGTTCAGAAAGGATTCCCATTGTCATCCCGAGCACCAGCACACTGAGAAATTCAAATAGGAAGGACAGGTAGCAATAACTTTAAAAGAAATGAGAAACAAAAATATATCAGACAATGGGAAGTAGCAACAATATTAAGAGCTTTCATCCTCTATGGCACTTTTAGATACTCTCTCTTGTCATAAATCTCCAATGAAAAATCACTAAGTATCTATGTAGTACTTGTAGTTGTGGAACCAGTAGAACTCAAACTTGGAGCCATGGTTGAAGCAACAATGCTTAACTTGTCTCCATTCCCATCACTTTTTGACACACAAGAGCTGCTCAAATGAACCTCATTAGCAGCAACAACAACAAATATTTCTCAGTTATCAAAAAAAGATTCCCTATTTTTTGTTAAGGAAAATAGTAGAAATTAGATGCATAACCACCTTTGAGATAAAAATAACAGGTGTTGAAGCCAGCTCAGGTCCAACAATCACTGAAACTACATTACTATTTCCATTCCCAAACAATCACTGAAACTACATTACTCGTACACAAACCAGCTCTGTCATATGGTTGGATTGGAATGTATCTGAATTCTTTCAACAACATTGTTGATAGGTTCCAAAGTTATCAACTTAAGTTTTGGTAACTAATTAATTGTAAAAGTAAACCTAAGGTAAGATACAACTCTCTGACGTTTTTAGTCATTTCAGATGCAACCATATTTCTAGATCAATAAATCAGTTCTCAGATAATATTCACTCATTAATGATACTTGCTTTTTACATCCATGGTAGTAGGACACCAAGCTATTAACAAAAAAGCTTCACTTTGCCACCAAAAAGTGTAAATTTCTACAACTTATATCTGTGTAATATAAAAAAGACATTCCGAAAATGGGAAAGGTACCTTCTATTGATTTAAGTGACTTTTGCAGATAGTCGAAGTTAATTTCTTTAAGAATGACTTGTATAGAACTGAGTATAAGAGTTGTGGCAATACCAAAGCCCATTAAACCACCACCAATAACAACAACCTTCTCTATTTTCAATGGTATGTACAGGTACTAGTCGTAGCTGATTCTACGGTTTCCTTTCATATTATCTTCTGCAATATTCAGTCTAAATAGGTCAAAATAGCCACACCTATGGTTTGAGGTTGTTTTTACCATGCAAGCATACAGAGAAAAAAGAAATCCTAGATGGTCATTTCAGTCCAAGTTGAATTAGCAACTCCAAATGGCTCATTTTGTTGCTTATACGATATAAGCAGGCTCAAAGACCAAGAATTTAAGTTAACTAAACTTACCTTTTCTCTTTGCAGTGATGACTGGATGACAAAGTTACCATAAGGGTCCATCAGTAGCATTGAACCACTTGGATTACTGAGCAGCTCGGTGATAGTTCTTGTGGAGTGCTCTTCTCTTGAATCGAGGATAATCTTTTCAATAACATTACTAGCGTACTTATTGCATGAGAGAGTCAAAAAGTTTCCTTGAAGCCTATCAATTAAAATATATGTAACTCTTGGTAACTTCAGTCCCAAAAGATGTTGCACCACATAGTTGCTACATGAAATGAAACATAAAAGCAATTAGACTTATATAGCAACTTCACCTTCACACATTACATAAGCATAAGAAAAAGAAAACAAGCCATACCCATATTGATCTTCTGATAGCTGCATTGCATTTATCAATATCTCAGTAATTATACAATCTCTGAGTTCTCCACCAGCAGATTCTACGCATGACTATATCACACAGCACCCACTTTTTTGGGTAGCAATTGCAAAGCAGTTATTTGCAATTTCATAGAGAAGAGGCTGCAATATGCAGTTAACTTGTGAGATACTTGTTTCATGCAAAAACAAAAGTTAAACAGAGGCACTAATCGAGCTAATGGAGAGGCATGCTACAGAGGAACACCTGACAACTTATACAGAGAAATGGGACATGAGAGTGATTGTAAGCAAGGGTTTATTTATATTCGGCAAAAATATATGAACAAGGTGGAAATATATAAATTACATTCTAGTAACAATATAAGAAAGCAATAAAAGAAGAAACACTAATCTTGAGGGAATTGTGCATAACAACAATTTGCAGATATGAAGATTAACCAACAGAAGCTAGTGTAATTTAATTTACTAGAAACAACAAGAATTTTCCTTTGAACCAATATTATATATGTGAACTTTTTCTTTCTTCACAACTTTTTTTCATCTACATAAATTTATCATTTCAACTCTATCAAGTTTATATCTAATAAAATAACAACTCTCATGTTACATTTTATTGGTATCTAACTATTTATAAACAGTAAAAGTTAGTTGGTCCGTCAGAGTACACAATCAATGAACTATGCTCTAATCTCAAATTGGAAAGAGCAAGTTACATGAGAACTCTGTATCAATTAAGCTCTATTCAGGTAAATTTCATATCATTAGTAAATAATTTAAGGCAAATTAAGGTTCTTTAGAAATTAGAACTAAATATTAATACTTATCTCAACTCACTTTTATGTATACTTTACTAATAATGTATTTGGCTCTATAGCTAAATTCATGTGATTTATGTATCCCTTTTGATTATCTTCAACTATCTTATTGTCACATCTAAGGAACACTAGTGAACATGAAAGTCTACATAAGACACGACTAAACCATACCAAGCAACCTTACTTCATTTTATCCTCTATGGGGCAGTTTGGTTAGAAGGATTAGGGGAATTACCCAATATAGATTTGGTACTAATTTGTCAAGTGTATGGTTGTATGCATTAGCTAAAACCAAGATACAATTTATACAAAAATCAAGGTAAAAGTGTAGTCTTTAATAAAAGGCATACCTGAGACAAACAAAACAAACATTAACACCCAAAAAATTTGAGAAAGTAGTGAACGGAATGAAACAATTATATAGACTTATAATGTTCAGAATTTAACACATGTTCTAAAGTTGCTGCCATGTTTTTTCTTATTTATCTCCCTTATTTGAACTGTTAAATACACATGATGGAAGGAGTTTTTTTAAGGTGAGAATAGTCCATTACTCCGGAAGAAGTAACCTACGAATGTATATTATCTAATAAAATTTACTTGCTTGAAAACATTGGAAAAGAGAACAACAAACAGGATACATAACTTGCTCAGATTTGTGTGTACCCAATTTTCTGGTTTTAGAGGAAATACAAACTACAGAACCAAACAAATAAAGAAAACAATACCAAAGATATATTCATCCGCATTTAGCAAACAAACAGGATACATAACTGATCATGCAACTCTCCCAGTCCGAACCAAAAAAAGAGGTATGTTACCTGGAAAAACATTATCTACTCTTGTTGTACATTCGAAATTTGAACAATTGTATATCAGACTCTATAAAAATAGTGGCAATAATTTATGGAGAAACATTGAGCCACATTCATGATGAAACTAATGAAATGCCAAAATTATCACTCCCTCTGTCTCACTCGATGGATTGAGTAACATCAGCCTTTATTAACATCTGTAATAAAATGACCACATCAAATGTAGCAGATTATGTTTCCAGCACACTCCAAAGATACTCACAACATATCCTTTGCTTGGATAAGACCAAAATGATGGTATTGAACTATACAACTCTTCACAATTCCAAATTATATCAAAGGTATTTGTTGATTTAAATTCTTAAAATGCACAACGAATGGGTTTTTTCCCTTAAAGAAACATTCAAGATGGGGGATTAGGAATGCCCCCTACATAACAATAACAAAACACATGTATAAGAGGTATACAATGCCTACCCTATTCAAGAGTTTCAAGATTGGACATGTCCAATCTTTTCCTAAAATTAACTCTTGATTAAGCTATAGCTTTCTCAAAATGTAAATGCATAAAGTATGTTAAATGATTATAAATGGAGTTTTCCCTCCTTTCAATTTCCAGAAAGTAGAAACAGAGGACTAAAGAATAATCACACCACATCTTCAAATCTACTTTCAGGCATCTTTCATTCTTAACTCGAAAATTAGGATATCTTCATTTTACCTCTTACTTCATTTGGTAGCTCTCAAAAGTCATGAATAAACATAATCAAGTTGCTCATTTCCTCAAAAATGGAGTGAATCAACAAAGGCTTGTATAAATTTGGATAAAACTCTTCTATATATTTAACCTACATAACTAAAGAATGACTAAGTTCCGAAGAATCGACCTCTATGCAATGATCTCACTTGATGGCATGTTCAATTGCTAACAACTATACTTTAAGAGGAATATAGACATCCTAACTTTAGATCAGCGTTGACCAGCAAATATGTTGCTCATTGGAAAGCAACTTAGAAATGATCAAAATATGATAGTGAATAATATAATACACTTTAACAACTGCATAGCCTGAGACCAACTATATTCAAAGTCTAAATATATATATTTTTATTTTCAGGATATATACAACTATATGTTCTCATAATTAAGTTCATACCTAAGTGATAGAATTCCTATGAAAAGAAGTAAGAAAAGTAATAAATAAAATTCAGTTACTTCAATTCTTCAAGCATATTATCAAACAATTTGACTGCATTAGATGCACATAAAAAATCTCTTTATACCGTATAAATGTTGGCTTCTTCTTAATAAATTTTGCAAGCAAACTTTTACTATATTTGTGCAGGTTCTTCATTGTTTTCTGCTAGCTATTTTGTTTTTTATGGTGGATTATTCTTAGGTATTAGACAATGATATTACACAATAGAAATATACAAGATTGGAAACTGAAATTATATCAAAAATCATTTTTAATGTTATGACATATTGCTTACAATTATTGTCTAGTAGTAATAAATAATGTAACTCTTGTTCTATTCAATGATCGACATATCAGTTACATAAAATAGAACCTACACCGATGCACATGAATTCTTATAAGAGGCGTGTGATAAAACAATCAAATTCG